ACGGCGGAAATAAATTAATGAAGCTGAGTGAGAGAAAGAGAGCCCCGTTCTCAACATCGGCAGCCGCAGCCAAACAGAACGCTGCTCATAAACGAAGTCGCCGACGGCGTTGAACAAAACCGCGTAGACACCGCGGCGGCGTACAAACATAGGATTTTTAGACCTTCTTCCCTCACGCTGCTGGCTGGTGGCAGCACCGCGCAACTTGCGTGTGTCTCTCACTCTACCTATGTCTAGGTACCTACCAACCTGCATAGGCCGATCGCGGTCAAGCAGCGAACAGCGAGAGTCACCACCACTTTCGTCGTCGACGACGGCGCGTTGCGTTAACCCTCACCCCTGCGCGATCTTTGCCCCACTCACGGCCACCACCACAACCGGGAAGGTGTCGTGGCGATCGACCTTCTGCTTGAACTCGATGAAGAACAAGTGACGCGCCACCTGAATTCCACTCTGCGGAAACGTTGACCGAACGCACAAATACAAGCGCAAACGAAAGCAGATCTTCGCAATCATTAGAAGGATCAACTGAAGAATAATAAAAGCGGTAGTAAAACACTTTTCGAGTGCTCATCCCGGAAAAGGACTCTTAAATGAGAATAGGCCGAGGCAGGGTTCGGGCACAAAGACGAATCTCGCAAAAACAGTGGGCGGGGAACTGAAGAGCGAAAAGCAGCAAAATTGAAACCCTTGTGGGATTTCATTCTTCGCTCGTCGACGGTAGAAGGGAAAACCCAACGTCGAAAGTGATTGAGCCCAACGAGAAAAGTTCTGTCGAGGGCTGGCCACTGGACGGCCCCTGGCTTATGTTATCGATGGTAACAAAACAAATTTTGCACACACTTGAGCCAGTGATTTCTTTGTATGGGCTCTGAAGCGGCTTGGATCTGCGGTGTTTTGTATCAATTAGTGGCACAGGTTGAACTGCTTTTCTGACAGTTTGTAGTTGCTCGCTTTGTTGAAGTGTAGTTAAACGGATCATAAAGACTTAATCTAGTGGAACCCAGATCAGATTAGAACTATTGTGTACATTAGACTGGTGCAGCATTTGAAATTTTTGCTCCACATTGCTCAAAATTTGAACTCATTTAGAAAGAAACTGACTTGTCACAAACCATTTGAAGTTTGAATGGAAATTACGATGGGAAAACCAATTGTTGTGTTCTTATCTATCTATCAATTCACCATATCGCTCTGTTTCAAAACATGATAGCTGTCACATAACATATGTCACCCATCTAACTATTCAGCAGGACACCTTAAACAAAACAGTCGATGGTTACCGAAGCTGACATTTAATCTGTTCAAATTTTAAGGTTTATTTTTATTTATTCACTGTTTTGGAAAAAAATAAAAAAAAACTCTTAGTGTATTTTAAAAAAAAGCTTTATTAGTTCCCTACAACTCTTTTTTAGTCATTTTTTCACTACATCCAACTATTTTCGATCAAATTTTATTTAAATGATATGTTTGCAAAATAACGTAGGCCAATTTAAAAAATTTCTCTTGAGTCAAAACTGTTTCCTTTCCTGCGGAAAATGCTCTATCAAACTGAAAATATGTGCCAAGTGTCATCCAAATCGAAGATGGTCGAGCACGATTTCAGGTTTTTTGAGCTCATGCTGGATGGAATCCCTCAGTGCTTGATCATGCCATAAGATTATCAGTCTCTTAAACAATTAACAACTATTTAAATTGACGTTTGGCTGAAAATCAATAGCGTGCAAAGTTGTAGCTGAGGAAATTTCCCATAATAAAAGTAATAGAACTTTTAAACAGAGCTATATGGAAAAAAAACTAGAAGTCAATGAACAAAATGTTGGTTTTCCTATAGTAATTTCCATATAAACTTCAAATAGTTTATGCCAAGTTAGTTTCTTACCAAATGAGTTCAAATTTTGGGAGCCTTATCTGGACCCAATTTGGAACCACTTGAGTACTGTGGAGCGAACATTTCAAATTTTGCATAAGTGTAGTGTACACATAGGGTTACCCAGAAAGTATAAGCACACTTTCAACTCGCCGCCATTTCTACCCCCATAAAGTTAATCAGCTATAGCTCAATAAGTTTGTGTGCGCAAATCATCAAAATGCGAGGCATTTCCTCGGAAAAGCGCGAACAGATTGTGCACAAATGGTGCACTATTCCCAACCTATCTGTAAGGAAGTTGGCGAAAATTGAGGCAGTAAGTATCGGAATAGATCAAACTGCCATCCGGATGTTTGGTGAAGAAGTTACCTTCGAGGACACATCGAAATCTGGCCGAAAACCGGGACCGGTGGACCGAATAGTGGACCAGAAGATCACAAAGCTTTCGTCAATAAGAAAGGTGCCTCTGTTCGAGATTTGGCCAAAAAACTGAGAACATCGAAGCGTAACGTCCAACGTGCCAAGGCAAGAAACGGACTGAAAACGTTCAAGAAATAGAAGAAGCCGAAACAGAGTCAGAAACAAGCCACATCCATTAGACCGAGGGCTCGGAAGATAAAGTCTGCTGTGTGGAAAATTAGCGTGTGTTATCATGGACGATAACCCATACGTCAAAATTAATAACAAGACGCTTCTGGGAGACCAATACTACACAATTCATGATGATCAGGAAATTGACGACTAACCGATAAGTCAATTTTAACCGAAAAATTTGGTAAGAAGGCCATGATTTTGCAAGCGATATGTGAGTGTGGTAAGTTGTCAAAGCCATTTGTGACGAATAAGGCGATGAACAGTGAAATTTACGTTCGGGAGTGTTTGAATCAGCGTCTGCGGTTTATGATCCGTCAACATGATGACCCAGTACTATTTTGTCCAGATTTGGCATCAATGCACTATGTACTCGAAAGACACGGTAGCTTGGTACAAAGCAAACAATGTGCAATACGTGCCAAAAGAGATGAATCCTCCGAATTGTTCGGAGGGCCGGTCAATCGAAACTTTTTGGGTCTTTCCAAGGGATATCTGTGCTGAAACTCATGGGCAGCGTCAGATCAAAAGTTCACTCCATGGCGTACGATTAAAAGAACTGTGTATTATTTTCATCCAATTGAAATAAATTTCTGTAGAGAACATATATATGAAATAAAAATGTGAGTTTATTAACATAACGTTGTTTTATTCCAATAATAAACTGTGCTTATAGTTTCTGGGCCACCCTATAGAAAAAAAATTGAAAAGGTAAAAGTTTAGGTATTTGGTAAAGGGGTTATTAGTTTGTCTAAAGATTATGGTGCAATATCACAAGAATCTAGTTGTCCAAATAGCATAGCATAGCATAAACTAGGTGGGGCCTTCCTTAGCTCAGTCGGTAAAAACGCAGCTACAAAGCAAGACCAGGTTGGAGGTGGCTGGGTTAGATTTCCGGTCCGGTCTAGAAATTTCTCGGGTTGGAAAATTTCTCGACTTCCCCGGACAAGAAGTAAATGATTGTACTTGCCACACAATTATACTTATGCTAAAATTTCAAAGGCATCGGAATCCCTCAATTAATAACTGTAGAAGTGCATCTACAACACTAAGTTGAGAGCACGCAATAAGCTAATATGCCATAAGCAATAAATTGAAATGGGAAGAAGAAGAAGGAAAAGAAGCATAAACCAGGTTACACAATGTCATAGGTGGTACAAGCTCCAAACTGTTGTTAAGAAAGAGCCCCACCTTGATCCGTTGCTGTTAGTAGAGGGAGTAAGCCATAGGATTCACCCAGCCGGCGTTGGCGGCAACCGTTATATCAAGTATTTAAGAAATAAAAGTTGTCAATAGTTTATCCGTTGGCCATTGTTGCTTCTCATTACCTAGAAATTTTATTCAAAACAGTCTTCAGTTTCCAAAATTGCGAAACGTTATCAACTCGATTCTATTGCTCCTTTGCTGCTGAAAATTTTGCTGTTGCTAAAGATATCCCAAGCAACTTTGCAATTTTTGTCGTAGTTTTATAGCATTCTACAACCCAAGTAACATTGCAAGCTTTATAGAGGTTTTATAGCATTCTACAAGTCCAAATCGTGGCCTACAGAACCATCATAAAACCAAAATTGTTACTTGGGAAGTCAAAATCATGGTCTACAGAACCCTCATAAAACCCAAATTGTTACTTGGGATGCACAATCCACTCTGATAAATAGGATGTTCTCATGCCAGGGTGAGACGTATATAGTATATTTGCTGATACTTCTTCTCCCGTACGCACAATAGTAGAAATCAACAAAAATAAATTCAACTAGAATAATCTGAAAAATAATAAAATTTAAATAATCTGGTTGTCCAAAAGCTGTTACAATTGGTTTTGCAGTTGCTGACAATAATCATCACTTACACCTTGATCCAACCGAGGAAATTGGCCTTGAAATCACGCTGGAAAAAGGTCAGCTCAACAAAGAAGAAACTTACAATTCGAAACTGAATTTGATGGAAAAGTTATTTCACAATCCAGAATTCTTATTTCCCTCACAGCACACATGTCATCCCACCGGCCCAAGAAAGTCTCTTACCCAACAACAAGAGGAACTGACTCACATCACACCCCGTTCCACACACAGAAGCGTGTAAATTGATAAACAAATTACCCCGGCTCCAATTATATTCAATCGAGCAATACTGATCATTAGTATATGAACCCCACGGTCTCCTCCTTCTCCTCCTATCCCACTACTTCGCGATCCTCACGATCACCGGCAAGCCGCAATTTCGCACTCGTCAACGCGCAAACCTAACCGTGCTAGCCAATCTGGCGGCCGCCATTTTGTGTACACTTTACACATAAGCATCCGTGCGTTCCGTGACCACTGTACTGGCTGCCTGCTGGCCTGGAGGTCCGCGGTAACAGATCTTGTTGTTGTTGGTTGGCACTCGTCAATTATTCCGTGTATTCAGTCAGTTCCGAACGTGCTCGCGCCGCTCCCAGCGCGTGATTGCAATACACAACACCACCATCCACCCGGGCCGAATGTCTCTAATTGAATCGATTTTAATGTTGTTTCCTTTTCTCCACCACCCCTTTTTCCAGAGCTGCAAACACGAACATGCACGCGTGGCTTTATGTCCTCGCGGTGCTGGCGATTCTACAGGGTGTAACGCAAGTCGCTAGCACCGGCGATCAACCATCAGTGTCTGCTTCGACCACCGCCACCACCACCAGCAACAGCAACAGCATCAGCAGCATCAGTAATCCAGATGAATCAAATCATCGGCCGTCGACTAGTGATGATAGTGTGGCGCAAAGTGAGTCAGAGGTGGACGAAGATAGTTTAGAACGGCCGGCGGCCGGTGAGTTGCACCTGCAGATGGATCCGGTCGCGTCCGTCGTCGATGACGATGACGACGATGAGGACGAAGATGATAGTGATAGTGATAACAGTCTAGATTTTAGTGGTAGCAGCAGCAGCAGTGGTAGTCATAGTAGTGATAGTGATAGCGATAGTAACAGTAAGCCCGATCCTGAAACGCTAGTCGAAATCGAGAAGAATCTCCTAAGTCTGTTCGGTTTTCCAAAAAGACCAAAAATTGATAGATCTAAAGTGGTGATACCGGAGGCGATGAAGCAGCTGTACGCCCAGATCATGGGCCACGATCTGGTTGACTCGGTCAACGTGCCAAAGGAGGGCCTCAACACGCGCAACGCGAACACGGTGCGGAGTTTCACGCACGAAGGTAAATGTCTTTGTTTTTCTATTTTTTTTTATTTCAATTAGGGTAACGGGATGTAAAGATAGTTCTGAGGAATTCCAGACTACATGTGAAACCTGTAAAACGAAACATTTTAAGTAGAATTTCTAGAAAATCCTTAATTGGATCTAAAGTGTTTTGACAGCCTCCATTTCGATCGAAAAAATGTGTCACTTAAACTCCAAAGTGACACATTTTTTTTTTTTTTGATTTTCAAAAACGCCAATTTAATAATTTTACAGGGCTCAAAATGGCCGAATTGTAGCAAATATTTGAATGATTGCCCATAACAAACAATTATGCAAAGTTTTTTTTTACAAATCGGAGATGGCCGAGTTTTTCCGAATCGTCATTTGGCGTGGAATTGCTGTATGACTCAGAAAATTTATGGCTAACGCCACACATTGTGCGTGCAAGTGTTAAGTATTTTTGGAAATCATTAAGGATGCAGAATAAGGTGAAAAGTGAAAATTGAACATGGTGGAGCTTTCGTCATTTTCTCCTCTTACGGCAGTGATGTTTCCGGCATTTTTCTAGAATTCTATGTTAGTTTTTAGTTTATGAAACTGTCCCTCACGGTTCTTTGTTCTTTCCTGAAATTCTAGAAACCTCTCTAACGCTTTTGCAGTTCTCTTGAAGCTTGTTGTACTACCATGAAATTAATAAACCTGCCCTAAAAATTTCTACGCATCCCTAAAGTTCACTGAACTTATGTGATGAACTAAAAACAAATCTAAACATATGTGAAGATTAATGAACATCTGTTAGATTCGCTAAAAATTTAGGGATTTCTAAAATGTCTCGCTAGTTTTCTGAAATTCATGGAACATTCCTGAATTTCCAGAATTTTTGGAGCTTACGAAACTTCTTTGAGATGTTCCCATATTTTCTTAATATAAATAAAATATTCGTGGAGTTCTTGGATCTTCCTTAAAGTTTCATGGACTTCTATGAAGTTCTCGGAGTTTTCTGAAGATCTCTGGACTTCTGTGAAGCGTTTGAAGTTGTACTGAAATACCTTAAGTTTCCTAAAATTTCTAAAACTTTTTTAGGTTTCCTAAATTTTTCCGGAATCAATTTGAAATAATTAATGTAATATAGTTCTCATCTCAATTACTATATTCCCCTCACCTTCTGGAGTGTGGCCTTTGAACTTGAGACTTGGCCTTCATAAGATCCCCTTCTATGAAAAATAATCATAGATTTCACCGAAGTTCACGAGATATTCCTGATGTTCATGAAACTGCCCTTAAATTTTCGAAACTAATTCATAACTTTTCCAATAGTCGAGACTTTCCAAATGCTATGAAAACTGTCCAAAAGATTTCTGACTTTTCTTAAAGTTCTCCAGACTGCCCTGAATTTTTCAGTTTTTTTTTTTTTTTTTTATAAAGCCCCGCAAATTTAGTGAAGTTAATTAAATTGCCTTTAATTTTCCATAATTTTCCTTAAGTGTTGTATACTTTATAAACGCTTACGGAACTTTGCAATAAATCACTAATTTTCCCAGAACTTCTCTGGACATCTCTGAAGTGTAATATGCTTCTCTGAGGTTCCCTAAATATTCGTAATCCTCTGATGCATATAAAGCTATCGAATTATTCCTAGAATTCTAGGAACATTCCATAATTCCACGGAACTTCTTGTAAGTGTCAGCAAATTTCCTTTATTTGATGCAATCGCTCTGAAGCCATCTGATCGTTCAAGATGTATTTAGGAACTGCGCTGAATATCATGAAACTATCTAAATATCTAAATTTCTTTGAAGATCTGTAGAATTTCTAGAAGATATTGTTTTTTTTTTTTATTTAATAGAACTGCCTTCTTCTCTTAAAACTTTGTTAATTTTACGCCAATTTTTTTTTTAAATTTTCGAATCTCCCATGATAATCATATAACATTCATAATATACTCTCACCATTTCCTGATTTTAATATAAATTCCCTTACATTCTAGAAATTTTCTTGGAGCTTTGCTTAGAATTCCAGAATTTCTATTAATTTCCCGAATCTTCTGCAAGCTTTCTGCAATTTACTTGCAATTATTTGAACTGCCTTTGGTTCTCTGACCAGTCCAGATCAGAGAAGCTTTCCTGAAGCTCTCAATTCTACAATGTCTTGGTTCTGCTCTGATATATATGATATAACTTTTCGAATCAGTTTTAAACTTTCCTGAAGTTTTCTGAAACCCTGTGAAGGTCCTAACATATATATGAAGTTTTCAAAGGTTCTCTGAAGGTCTCTATACTTTCTTGAAATTCATGGCACATCTTAAGGGTTTCCGATTTTTTTTATCATGAAGGACATAGCTATGGGAACTGCCCATAAGATATCTGAAATTCACCAAAGATCTCTAGATCTAGCTTTCATGGGATACTTAGAACTTCTTAAATCTCTGGATTTCTTTTATATCCTTGGTTTATTTTCCGTCGATCTTGTTTTTTGTACTGAGTACCAATGCTATCGACGCCAGAGAGGCACCTCCCACACCTGGACCCTATATATCGACGCATCAACTCATGGACCGGGAACCAACGGCTTTACTTCCCTTCCAAATGAGGGCGTGATCAGAGATTTTATGCCTCAGAAAATCCCGGCGGCGCCAACTGGGATTGAACCCAAGCCCTTTGGGGTGAGATGCAATCACGCTTACTACTACACCAAAGACACCGCTTGAACTAAATTTCTTTTGAATCTTTTGAATTACGTTAAGATCTTGAAGATTCCAGTCTTGGGCTGAAAATCTTCTTAATTAATAAACAAGAGCAACAACGGTAATATCTCTGAATATTCCTGAAATTCCAAGAACTTCTTAAAAGGTCCAGCAGCTTTTCTGAAGCTAAAAAAATCGCTGGAAACTGGAACTGTGTCCATTATTGTTATTCCATAATTATGGCACTTTTAATATTTTCAATATCTTGAACTTGTACTTGAAATACGAAACTACAATACATTGCATATTGTGAGATCTTCGACTTACTAAAATTAAGTAATTTTATGTGTATTCTGTATTAGGAGATGTTTAGCCACGAGCTAGTTCATCTCCGAAACTATGTAAATGTTAAACTTCAACATTTAATGGATTTGATTGTACAGCTGTTTCTTTAAAACGGAGTGCCGCGCCGTGACCCACCAGGCGCACTAGTATGTCATTTGGTTTCAAATTGTTTGTTGTTACTTGACAGCTCGACTAGGTTGAAGGTGCTATCTTTGGCAATGTTGTCCAGACTATTGAGTGATGGACAGCTCAGAATTCACTCACCTAGCGACACTAGTGTACCGTTTGAGTTTGGATCGCTTGCTTTAACTTGACAGCTTGATAAGATATTGTGCACTTAGATAAAAATTATCTGTATATCACTGATGAATTGACTTCTGAAACAGTATTAAAGTTATGATTTCCCTTAAAGTTGGAAGTAGGTTGGGAAGTCAGAAGTTAGACTTCCGTACATTAATTTAGTGCTGGTGACACAATAGAAGGTTGCGCTCATTGCCAAAGTTGTTCAGATAGACAAGAGCTATTGGATAGTGAACAGTTCAATTCATAATTAAATCAGCACGCAGCGCTAGAAGTGCAATTTGATTTCTTATTTATTGATTTATTTAGATCGACTAGCTAGAAGATTGTTGTCTTCAGCAAAGTTGTTCAGACGTGAAAAAATTGTAAGATGGTAGACAGCTCGGTCAAACGTCAAACGTCAATCCCTTTAATTTTGCAATGTTTTACCAACAACCTAACCAAAAACAGTTGAAAGACAATCGATTCTAGCCGGTCCCAATGGGCCTGGTTTCAATCCCAGCCGAGGTGGGTGGGATTTTTCTGAGGCATAAAAATCTCTGGTCACGTCTTCCTTCGGAAGGGAAGTAAAGCCATTGGTTCCGGCCCATGTGTGTTTGAATGGGTGCGATTTCCTACGCAGGTGTAGAAGCTGCCTTCCTGCACATTCGATTGCCGTCAATGGATGGCAATCGATGTCCGTCGATGATTGGCACTAGATTGCGCAACAGAGACCGACGTTAAATAAATGAAATAAGAAATAAGACAATCGATTCTACATTTACAAACTATTTTGAAAAACGCCTTAATGTACACACGACTAACGTCAATTTTAATATCTTAATAAACGTATAATTCAGCTTTTCGTTGAGTAACGAACTTTTCAGGCTCGGAGCACTTAATTTTACGTGACATGTTTGTTTACGTCTTATCTTTTATGTCAAAGATGGATTCCGTCACGTGTAAAATTAGGTATTTCTAAGTGTGAACCCAACAAACATTGACAGTTGTATAAGAGCTTATTCAGACAAAAATAAGCTTCTTCAACTAAAAAATGGCTTGTTCAGCTATTAATCAGCACAAATTGTTTGTTGGGTATCTCTTTAGTGATCATCGATCAAGACCAAAATACCTTAAGACAAATTTGCGTCAATCTACCACGTACGATAACAGAGAACAGATGTCCAACTTCAGTCTGAAGCTTGTGTAAACTTTTATTAATGTAACTGGTGACATGCTATAAAAATTTGCCACTAGTTTTTGTCAGTGTGAACCGCAACCACAGGTAGGTTTTAAAAACAAACGATCAAACTGACGGTTGTCATAAAACAAACAGACCCAATCTTGATACCCAATCTAGGTTGAAACTGAATGATACACGAATTTGCTATTAGATTCACGTGTAATTTTAGCAACGCCAGCGACACCAAGTTGTCCAAAAGTGTTTAAATATTAGGCACTTGAGGTGGACGAGGCATTAGTGCAGTATGTATCGTTACACATTTAATTATTTCAACCAATTGAACGATTGGCGCTAATTTTATCGAGGATTAAAAGCATTCTACAAGTCTAAATCATGGTCTACAGATCCCTCATAAAATTAGAAATAGTATGTGGGTGAACGACATCCCTACACCAGGGGATGTAAGATTTGCTAACAATAACGAGGGATGCATCATCGCAAGATGTTAGTGGAGACCGCATGAACT